AACTTGTCTCTAAATGAAGATTAAGTTTTTTATTTATTCTTTCTATGTATTTTCTATGATGGCTATTCACTGGGGGCATTTTTTGTTGTTTGTTTATTTGTTTAGAGACAGAGTTTTACTTTGTCACCCTCGGTAGAGTGCCATGGTGTCATAGCTCACACCACCTTCATAAAGCCAGCCCATCCCACACTTCTAGGTGTGCTACATGTGAATCATGCCAGAGACAGATACTGTTGTCCAACCCTCAAAGTCTCCAAGGAAAATGACTCTACAGCTTTTCAGGGTCTTCAATAGCCATAAAAGATCTATTGGAGAGTGGCGCCTGTGGCTCAGTGTGTAAGGCGCTGGCCCCATATACCAAGGGTGGTGGGTTTGAACTTGGCCCCGGCCAAACTGCAACAAAAATATAGCAGGACATTGTGGCAGGCGTCTGTAGCCCCAGCTACTTGGGAGGCTGACGCAAGAGAATCGCCTAAGCCCAAGAGCTGGAGGTTGCTGTGAGCTGTGACCCCTCAGCACTCTACCGAAGGTGACAAAATGAGACTCTGTCTCTAAAATAAAAAGATCTATTGGAGTACAAAGTAAAAGCAAAAGTAAAAAACCCCCAATACCTGGTTTTGTGTGGCTTGCTCCATCTAGCTTCTCAGCTGCCAAAGTCACAGGTACCACGTCTGCCTTTAGCTCTTCCTTTCCATCCGTGCCCACGTTTTTCACTATGACGTTCACATTTATGGTCTGACCAGCCCTGGGTTTGGCTGCTGGATTAGCATGCTTCCAGAAACGCTGCTTCAAGGCTTCCAGTTCTAAACACAAACACCAACCACTATGTCAGTTTGCCACGTTCAAACTCCTTCCTTTGAGAATTATAAGTTAACCCTATTAGCTCAACCATGTTGAGGGGAAAAAAAACTCACACATAGAGAATTCAAATCCCCTCTGCTACTGAGTCCTACATCATACTGATATCACTTAACCCAAACCAATGGACTGCTGCAGCTGTTCTTTGTCAGTGTTTCAAAAAGCAGACTTTTAAAACAGAAATTTATACTTAAGTTTTTAAACATATGCCATTCTTTTAAAAAAGTATTAAACTGGTAGGAAGCTTTAAGTCTATGATACTGTAATTCACAACTATTCAAGGGCTTAATTTTTCATGGGTTTCAGTCTCCTTTTTTTAAATCCCCTATTTTGAACATTTCACTATTGGCAATCTTACCAAATATGGGGAAGGTCAATTTTTTAAAACAGTAAAAAAGAAAGTGACATACCAGTTAGTGACATAAATGAGCAACAGAACTGGAAAAAGTCTTGTGGTGAAACTGCTATGTTGGTACAGTTGGCAGAATGAGAAAGGAAATTCCACTTACAGAGTAGCACACACTCAATTTGTATACAAATGGGAATATTAATAATATAGGGTCACCATGAAGTTCCCTGGCAGTTTATTTCTTTTCTTTTTGGAGTGGCGTGGTCACAGCTCACAGCAACCTCCAACTCTTGGGCTTAAGCGATTCTCTTGCTTCAGCCTCCCAAGTAGCTGGGAGTACAGGCGCCCACTACAACTTGGCTAAAAATAGCTCGCTCGGCTATTTTTTTTGTTGTTGTAGTTGTCATTGCTGTTTAGCAGCCTTGGCTGGGTTGAAACCTGCCAGCCCTGGTGTATGTGGCCAGCGCCCTAACCACTGAGCTAGGGGCGCCGAGCCTTGTGTGCAGTTTAAAATAGCCAACTAGGCTCGGTGCTAGCCATGTACATCAGGGCTGGCAGGTTCAAACCTGGCCTGGGCCTGCCAAACAATGACAACTACAACAACAACAAAAAAAGAGTAGCCCGGCATTGTGGCGGGTGCTTGTAGTCCTAGCTACTTAGGAGGCTGAGTGAGGCAAGAGAATTGCTTAAGCCCAAGAGCTTGAGGTTGGTGTGAGCCACAGCACTCTACCCACGGAGACATTGTGAGACTCTGTCTTTAATAAAAAAAAAAAAAAAGCCAACTACTAGGAGCAGTAAGTGCAGCAGTCTAATGGCAATACAACCTTTCCCCTCTTCTGCTATAGCTTAGAATTTCCTTCTCCTTTCTCCCAGCCAGCTACTACCTGGCATTATCTCTTATTCATTCTGCTTAACATTTTACACCATAGTGGGAGCTGTGAGGACAGAGTTGGCAACTAGACAGACAGAGTAAGGAAAAGAAAAGGAGAAAAATTCCTTTGGATTTAAGGGACATATTTTCACATTGCTTCCTCTTCCATGGTAAAATATCTTTTTTTTTTTTTT